AACCACACTATCTGGGTTGTCTGGGACACCCAAATCTTTCTGGTTTAATTCCTCTGTGTATTCTTGCCACCTCCTCTTGAGGTCTTCTGCTTCTGTGAGATCCTTACCATTTTTTGTCCTTTATCATATCCATCTTTACACAAAAGGTTCCTTTAAGATCTCCAACTTTCTTGAACAGATCTCTGGTTTTTCCCTTTCTATTATCTTCCTCTATTTCTTTGCACTGCTCATTTAAGAAGCCCCTCTTGTCTCTCCTTGCTATTCTTTGGAAGTCTGCATTCCATTTTCTGTAACTTTCCCCATCTCCCTTGCATTTGGTTTCCCTTCTCTTCTCTGTTCTTTGTAAGGCCTCATTGGACAGCCACTTTGCTTTCTTGCATTTCCTTTTCTTTAGGATGGTTCTTATTTGTTGTCTCTGTGAATGCACACTAATGGGTTTAGTCTGTGCTTGTGCAGAGGTTTCTGGAATCTTCTAGACCTTCACCTCCCTCTATTACCATCTCCATGCAAGAATTGGAGGTTATTCATGACTTTGTGTACCTTGGTTCAACTATCTCTGACTCTCTCCGTAGATGTCGAGCTGCATACATGCATTGGCAAAGCAGCTACCATGTTCTCTAGACTCACAAAGAGAGTATGGCTCAATAAAAAGCTGATGGCATATACCACAATCCAGGTCTATAGAGCCTGTGTCTGAGCACGCTCCTGTACTGCAGTGAGTCCTGGACCCTTTGTGCATGGCAGGAGAAGAAGCTGAACATGTTCCATATGCGTTGTCTCCAACACAGTTTTTGGATCACCTGGCAGGACAACGTTCCCAATAGAGTAGTCCTAGAACAAGCTGGAATTTTTAGCATATATACATTACTGAAACAGTGACATCTGCGTTGGCTTGGGCATGTTGTGAGAATAGCTGATGGTTGGATACCAAAAAGTCTCCTGTATGGAGAATTAGTGCAGGGAAATTGCCCCAGAGGGAGGCCACAGCTGCGATACAAGGATATCTGCAAGTGTGGTCTGAAGGCCTTAGGAATGGACCTCAACAGATGGGAAATCTTGACCTCTGAGTGTTCAGCCTGGAGGCAGATGGTGCATCACGGCCTCTCCCAGTTTGAAGCGATCCTTGTCCAGCAGGCTGAGGCAAAGAGGCAGACCCAAAACCAGCAAAATCAGGGAGCTGGACAAGGGACAGCTTGTATTTGTCTTCAGTGTGGAAGGGATTGCCACTCTTAAATTGGCTTTCTCAGCCACACTAGACACTCTTCCAAGTCCTCCATACAGAGCACATACCATAGTCTCTTGAGACCGAAGGATGTCTAAACTAGTGTGTGCTTTAGTAATAACTGCATGTCTGGTCACTTGGCAAATATATAAATTATAAGAATGGGGGGTGCAACATGCAGGCACCCCCCCATCCAAAGCCCATCCACTAATGAGATCCCAACTTCTGCCTTGCTGAAGGGGTGTTGTTAGCGCTCACAATAAAAATAAACCTAGTGCTTCCTATCCCTACAACTGAATGTAGAGATGTGTGCACCTCCACGTTGTTGTTGGGATTTAAAAAAGTATCGGACTCAGGTTTTTGGTTTTGTTCTTTCAAGCCGGTATATTTCGTTTATGCTAGACAGGCTGTGGCTTTTATTGTGTTTGAAGGCTCTGCTTCTCAGACTTGTTTTATTTTGTTTCAGCAGTTCAAACTCATGTTCTCTGCTTTCTACCCAACAGTTTTTCCCCCTCCTCCCGCTTCTAGAATATGACAGGGTTGTCTGGGATGCACGTGCTGGCTCCCTTCCCTGTTTCCGGTGTTCAGAACAAACAGAGAAGCGTGGCGCGATCAGGCGCCCAGGCTGTGTTTGTGACCACAGAAATAAAAGCAGTTCCGATTTCCCTCCACGCCTCTCTTGTCTTCTTTGGAATTCACGTTCACCCTCTCAGGAGACTCGGGCACAACAAAGGACGGGGCGCTGCTGCTCAGGGCGAGCGCCCGCATGAGGCGGAGAGAAGCTTTGCCACGTTCGCCATTTACCTGACCCAGACTCGGCTCCTGGCCCTGGCGTGGGGCCAGCGGGTGTTTCCGGAAAGAACACGCGTGTACACACGCCGCCCGCCTCGTAACTTGCTCGCTGCTTGGCGTGTAGCGCCGCTCGCTGTTCTTCCCGAAGAGTCACCCTGTTGGCCGGCTGTCAGCAAACACGACGAACGGTCCCGCAGAGAGCAGCCCTTGGAGTGCCTGGGCAAACCAGTGCCTCCTGGCACGTGGAGAAGAGGCTCCGGTCCGGGCACGACCACACACGTCTCTGGCGCGGTCTTTGTCGCCCATTGCTTAAGGGGGTCGCTCTCTTCCGTGAGAGGCTTTCGCGCAGTCTCTTCGCGCAGCACTCCGTGCAAGTTAAACTGGGGCTGCTCTGGGCGTTAGAGATGAGCCCCACGTCCAGGCCCAGCTTTCTGGGAAGGTGTTGTGAGGATCGTTAGAGGAACTGGGGGGGGGGGGAGGCGAAAGAAGGAAGCCACAGTGAGATCCTGTGCGGTGTAGCGGAGGGACTGTTGGATTAGGACTCGGGAGACCTGGATTCCAGTCCTTGCTCGGGCTTGGGAACTGACGAAGGGGAAGGCTGTGGTGAAATCACACCTTAAAACCGAAGCTATACTGTACCTTGAAAAAGCCTATTCAGAGCGTGGTAAACGAGAAACGACTTGAGGGCGCAGACACAGCACGCGGGGAAACAGGAGGCGAAAAAAAAAGCCGCCCCTAGCTCTGTTGCAACGGGGGTGGTTGGTCAGGAAGAGCCAGCCGGGTGGCTTGTCTCTACTTTCACCTGGAGATGAGTGAGACTTGCTGGGGGGGGGAGGGGGGGGGAGAGAGGAAGAAGACAGCCGATGACAACTTCTGCCTCTCCGACGGGCACGTCCGCGCGGTTGCGCGCGCGGTCGGTCGGGCGCGCGCCGTCTCTCACTTTCCCGCACATAATTCCTCTCCCTCAAAGAGCACAACCTCTTCCTCCGCCTCCCGTCACAGATGTAAACAGCCACACGCTGGCTCGCTCGCTCACTCACTCTTGGCTGTCTCTCTTCCCACCCTCACCTACATTTCTCTTCGGTCCCTCCGTCACGCAATCCTTTCTCTCCCCGCAGGCGCGCGCGCCCTGGGCGGCAATCACAAAAGCCCTGCTGGAAGCCGAGGGGCGGCAGCAGCAACAGCTCGTGGCTGGCTCTGTCGGCGATTGCAGTTCCCTCCGCTTCTC